CCGTCAAGGCTCCCAGGAGGAGGAGGAGGAGTTCCTGCTGTGAGCGCCGAGCACTGCCCCACTCTACCGCCTCGAGCCGCCGCCGCTCCAATCTCCTCGGCTGCGGTCACGTGGGCGAGCGCGGGGCTGTCCCTCCTCCCGCCCGCGCGCGGGGGCTCCTGCAAGGGGATGCTGTGGTCGGGGACGCGCAGGCGTGCGTCGTCCTTGCCCCCTTTTCCAGTCGCCCCTCCTTGCCACCTTTCCCCGCGAGTAACCCTGTGCTCCTTCCTCGCCTCCCTCCCTGGCATCAGGCTCTGAGGAGTACACAGCCTTCCCACGGGTGACCTCGCACCCTCCTCGGATACGTCTTAGGAAACACGAAAGGAAAGAATGGGCGGTTTGTGGTTAAGGATGAGGTAGGCCAGGTGTTTTGGTCTTAACTGTCATTCACTTCGATTTCCTTTGGGTTCTCTTTTCTTCACCCAAGCACGCAGGCACATGCTTGTCACTATGACAAGGGAAATGCACAAGTTATCCTTCTAAATTAATGAAGCTTCAATGATGGAGAATGAACCAATTAACAAAATAACAAATGCGTATTTTCCATCCGCGGTGGAACGACTTAAATTAATACACCAATTTTCTATATGGATATCCGACTGCGTGGGTGGTCGGCACCCCTTACCAACAACCTGCCCCCACCCCACCTCTTGTTGTTCAAGGGTCAACTGTAATTTGAATGAATGTTTGCATGTGTTCTGTAGAGCCTTTTAATATACATGGAATAATCAAAGAGATACAATTGTGCCAAATGCAGCCATTAGGAGTTCAGAGAAGAAGGAGAATAGGGGCCTCATAGTTAGGCAAGTCTGCTTGGACCTGAAAGAAATGAGGTGAATATAAAAGGATAATTGCTCAGGAGACAAAGGACAATCTAGGCAAAAGAAGAAAAAATAATTTTTATTTTAAAAATTTGTTTGGATAGTAAGGTGTGAGGCAGCAGGATAATATACCCGTGAAAAGTAGCAAAAATAGACTACATACCGTTGGTAATTTGATAGTTTCTGACATCAAACAAGACCTTTGAGACTAGTTCAACAACCTTTTCAGCTACTTGTTAGTTAAACATGTCATCTACTTTTTGTTTTACCTTTTCTCCAATTGTTGGTTTAGAATGCTCCATTTAAAGGTTGAGTCAAGTGTGTTGTTGCTTCTGCTCTTTGACACTGTTAAAATTATGTAAATACTACCTTTTATCATATTTATGTGATCTATTTTCCAACTGACCATTGACCCAGTTGTATATTTTGACTTTATTTTATATTGGAAACATCCTAAAGGATAAGAATTATTAACAATTCTTACTTCGGATCTAACCCAGTAATATAAATAATAAATATTTATAATGATGTCAAAAGTATAACATACTTCTTTCAGAACATTTCAGATTAAAGTCTATTATAAGTGGCAAGAACTTTAGGGAGAGAAGAGGTAATAAAAAGTAACTGATTTGTTGTATCATTCAAGCAACCAGTATACATTAAGTGTTCTGTTCTTGAAATTAACCAAATAACATATAATTTATCGAGTATATTTACCAGATTAAAGTTTTTTGGTTTGAAATTATGGTTTCTCAAGTCTCAACATGAGTTATGTATATCAGTCAAAAAAAATTCAGTCAAATATCTACATTTGGAGAGTAGGTAAAGATCAATGATTTATGATCTAGCCAAGTTCTGATTAGTTTGAACATCATCTAGAATATTAATTACTACTCCTATGTTGTGAAATCCTGAATGTTTTTTATGGAAAATAGATCCCCACCCTCACCCCCATCACATACACAAAACTTCAGCATCTTTACTTGTTTAATAAATGTGAAATTGTTAAAAGAGCTTCAGATATTTCTCCAGCTTCTCTTTTATAGTAGAGGCCAACGTCAGTCCCACTATTCACCAGAGGGCGCCTGTCACACAGAAAATCCTAGACAAGTAGTGGTAAATATAAGTCAAAAGTGGCACTTGGATCTCCTCCACATTCTACCTGGAAAAGTAGTGTGTTTATTTACATTGACGAGATGTCCAAACATGCACCAAGAGCTAGAACCCTAACACTTACCCACTCTAGAGCCGTATTACCCATCACGGAGACTAACAGTCCAGTACTTAGTTCACAAGTGGTTTATAAATACCAATGACTGACCAAAAACAAAGCCTACCTAGTCTGTTTGTGCAAAAGGAAGGAGACCTTCATGTCTACTCACCCAGTGTGACAGCCATCTAACCAAGATTGGGTGGCATCATAAGAGAATAAATCAAATACAAGCATTCATAGTATCTTCAAAATTTTTAAGGACAGAGAGTTCTTTCTTAGGGACTGAGTACAAATAAGATACAGATATCTACAAAAAAAACCAAAACAAAACAAGGGATAGCATATGATTACAATAAAAAGTGATGTTATATAAAATTTAAAAAGATCTAAAAGCATTAGAGCCCATGAAGGACTAACAACATAAATCAAGCTATCCATTTTTGCCCTAGTGTTTCCACCTTTCCATATTGTCAATATTGGCAGCAATCTATGCTTTCAAAGAAAAATCAGCCTAGGAATCTATTGAGTTGAAAGAAGTAATCTGATCAAAAGAGCTATAAAAAGACACTAAATCTTACAGAGTCAAATTTTGCTAAGTGGATAATAGCTACAGAAAATGAAGAAAATCATTGGTAATACTAATTGCTTTCTATTAGTTCCAGTCTTTGTGTTCTCCTCACCATTCTTCCCCTATCCACAAAGATAAAAAATATGTAGTACCCATGACACAATACAAGTTTTTAACTAATTTGGAATCACATTCTTTAATCAATTTTTAAGATGTTTACTTTTTTGTTACCTTGTATACAATTATTTTTATTATATTAAATGGATAGATAATTCATGAGTATCAAAAAATAAACAATACAATAAATAAAAATCCCCCACAATCTCATCTTTCATTATTGATAGAATATTTTTATAGATTTTTACATGCTTATATAAACTCTCCTTTCTTTACACAAATGGTTATTATTTGTGATAAAGCTATTCTATAGTCTACTTTTTAAAAACTTAACAATAGATCAGGAGCACTTTTCAATATAAGGATATCAATTACTTAATATTTCATTATATGGATATACCATAATTTATTTAGCCACTACAATATATGTGAGCATTTAGATTATTTCCAAATCAAGCTATTATATCAATTTGACTATTAATATTTCTTTATACACAATTTTTTTAACTTGTCTAATTATTTCATTGACTTAAATTTCTGCAAGGGAAATTTCTGAGTCAGGGAGTTTTAATTTAAAATTTTTGATACACGATGCCTAATTACCCTCCAGAAATGTACTAATTCACAAAATCTATGAAAGTGTGCTCATTTCCCCACACCCCATTCTCCTTACTAAATTTAATTGTGCCTTGTAATCATTATCTATCTGATAGACAAATATTGATATTTCATTGCTGCTTTAACAGTTTATCATGTTTATTGGAATTTTTGCATCTTTCTTTTGAGAATTGCCTTATTTGTATTATCTCCACACTTTCTATTGTGTTTATTTTTCATATTGATTTATAAGAGATTTTATGCAATAATTAACAGTTTCTATGCTATATATATTGGAAATATATCTTCCAAGATTATTTATCTTTTACTGGATTTATTATAATAATTTTTAATTGGGCATATTGTAGGCTGTGGATGTTAGGCTCTCCCACCAACACTTCTACAGAATTTTGTATCAGAATGCCTAATGGTCTTTTTTAAACTATATAACCTCTGGCAGTTCTGATTCACACTTCTAGGAACATATTCTGTTCTCTTCTCAACAATTTCAACTACAAATATCTTGCATTGGATATTCATTATTTTGGAGTCACTCAGTATATACACTCAGTCTATAGTCTTTCTCAAGTCATGCATTCAAGGGCTAGTGATAACAATGTCAAACCATTGTATCTCTGCTAGTTCTTCTTAGCTTAGTTACACCAAGAAAGGTTCTGTCACTCTCAATTGAATATTATCTGGGTTTCCAGTTCCTTCATTTACTACATCTTATTATATCATCTTCACAGTGTTTGGGGCCCAACAGTTGTACAGTGGAACACTCACAAAAATGAATGACTACATAAAAATGAATGACCTTCCTTGGACATTGGAGAAAGAGTATTGACTCTGAAAAATCCATAGACAAAACTGAAAGGCAACAACTGAGGGAAAGTATTGGCTTCTGTAGCATCACTTATGTACCTGGTCCCACTTTCTCATTCTTTTTCACCAGTTCCTCTTTTCTGACCTTTGAATGTCAAAATTCTTTCTGGTTGCTTTCTATAGTTTTTTCTTTTTCTTAAACTTCCTGCCTAAATTATTTGATCCATTCTCATGGCGTTGGTTGCCATCTATTTATAACTCCCAAATGGATATCTCCAGGTTAGATGCTTCTTTCAAGCTCATATAACACAGCTTCTATGGTACTTTTTCTTTGATGTACCTCAGACATTTGCATCTCAGCATGTTAGAACCTGCCCCCCCACACAACCACCACATTTGTTCTCCTTTCATATTTCTTTATTTCCACACATCCCATAAGTCATCACTAACACTTTATTCTCCCTTACCACCCACATTCAATCCACAACAAACTCCTGTCAATTCTACATGTAAAACATACCTTGACTCCTTCCACTCCCCTCAGCTCTACTGTACACACTTTAACCTAAGCCTCCACCATCTCCTCTTCCCCTTAATTGCCAAAATCACCTCAACTGGTCTTTCTGCATATATTTATTGCCTCCTACAATTTATTCTCACACAGCAGTTTAAGTACTCTTTCGAAGAGTACGTCTTCATTTAAAACCTCTTAATGCTTCCACTGCCCTCAGAAAGCTCTAGAGCCTTCACGTGCCATGTCGA